GAGCCGCGCGTGGGGGTTCGCGGAACGCTCCGGCAGAACCAACACCGGAACTTAGGGCGAGAGGAAGGCAGCCTCCGCAGACAGGGCCGAAGGGAGGGAGAGAAGGAGGGAGTGGGAGGGACGCTTAAGTAGGTATCGCTTCCTAAACCGACCGGCGGGCAAACGAGGCTCTCTTAGAGAAAGGTTCCGCTGTGCGCAGTTAACCGAGCCCCGATTCTGGGCTTGAAAGTCCCTAGTGTCCTTGACGCAAGAACCTGTCTCCTCACCCCCACAGGACCCTGGGATCCTTAGACAAGACTGGGGCGGAGAGAAGCCTACTTAACCTACGGGCTAGAGAGCCCACCCAGTTTTATGACTGTTAGTGTGGGATACTTTCTGCCTGTGATTGAGGAGGAGGGAGGTGGGGGGAAGGGGTAAGAGTATCCAAAGAACCACTTTTGAATAAGGTCTTTATGTCTCTGAGCCTCTGAAATTTGGAAGGGCAGAAAAGCCGCTGCACTTAGAAGGAACTGAAAGCCTGACCAGACCGCCCAGGAAAGGGAGATTAAGTGCGTAAAATAAAGAGCTAAGAAGCAGCAGTCATAGCCAGATTGAACTAGTCCTGAGCCTACAGAACCTCCGCGTCTCACATACGTCACAGAATTGTTAGGATTTGAAAATAGCATTTATCCGATGAAGAATAGAAGAAAGGATATGTGATAGGTAGGGTTTTAGTTGTGGGGGGGGGAGGGTGGTAGGGGAGGACGGGAGGGAGAAGGTAACTGGGATTGTCGTGTAAAACAATCTTGTTTCTAAATCAAATAAAAAAATGATTTAAAAAAAGGAAGAAAATAGCATTTATCCAAGGAATGCTATAGGTCATCCATGTATCAGGCTTTGGTTAGCATCTGGGATTTCTTTCCTGGGGTTTGTGTGGAGGAAGCAGACAAATGCTGTAGAGTAGTTGGATTAGTATCATTACCATCTGCTATGAAACAGGGATGTGGGTTTGAGTCTTCGTTTGGGTGGTCAGGAAAGACCTCCATAACAGGTGACCGGAACAAAGGCTGGGCAAAGGGAATAGCTGGTACAAAGATCCTGACCATCTGCTGAGCTCTGAACAGAAAGCAGTGTGGCTGCGAACTGTAGGAAGAGTTCTAAAGAATGAAGTCAGCAGGAGACAAATCCTTTGGGCCAGTGACCTATGCTTCGTGATGGCATCTGGAGAATTTTAAATAGGAAAGTGACAAGATAGTGCTTTTTTTTTTTTTTCCCTAAATCACATTGTTTGCTGCCTGATGTGTGGAGAGCATACCCCAGGAAGTAAGAGCAGAAGCACAGAGGTCAGTTAGGAGAGGGTGGGATTCCAATTAGTGGAGGATCAGGCCACTTCTCAAATTCTCTTCTGTTCTATGGTACAAATTCACCAGTTTGCAGATCCCTATGCAAATGTTGGGGTTGTTCCCCTCCTTATAATACTAAACAAAAACAGCCTTGGAAATAAGGACTGAGGATGAGGGGGTTTTTTAATTTATGTATGTATTTTATGTATATGAATACTGCTTCTGCATGTACACCTGCATGGCAGAAATGGGGGAAAGGGAGAGGATCAGATCCCCTGTCCTGTAGTTGCTTTAGTTGCTTCAGCTGGTTGTTGATCAGCTGAAGAAAATAATTTAAAAGTCTGGCCACGGACCCCTTGTTCCGATTTTGTTTTGTACAGGAGACCTCGCTTATTCATATACCCACTGCTGTTTGTGTGAGACTTCCTTCTTCCTCCTCTTACCCTCCTCTACTCATTTTGGTACTGTAACTAGACCAAGACTAATCCACAGGTCCTCTGCACTGCAGGGTGAGGCCTCTGCTCTGGCATCCTGAACCACTAAAACAGTACTCAGTACAGGGCTCTGGGCTACCATGGTTGCTCAACGGCCATCTGCTGACTGGAGACTATTTGGTTGCCTCTATTTACCTGGCCTTGGTCAAGCTGTGCAAATCTGGAGAGAGGATGTATAAACAGGGTAAGGCTGCAAATCCAAAGGTCAGAGTCCAGAAACAGTTCCTTGTGCTTCAGACCCCTTGCCCTCTCCCTAGACAGAAAACCGTTGAGCAACTGAAAACAGAAAAACACAAGCAGTGGCATCCTTGAGGGTTTGCTAATGGCAGTGAGCTGAAGCTTCCTCCCCAGACAAAAGGCAGGGTGGCTGGCCTCTTCCAGCCCTTTGCTTCCTAGAGAGGTGGTGGCCTGCAAGCAGAATGGCTCTGCTTTCCATGGAACAGACAGTCCTCTTTCCAAAGTAGGCCATCCCAGCCCAACAGCTCTGAAGCAGTGGGTTTTCTCGGGTTTTTGTAGACAAATCTTAAGTCATATTCAAATACTAATAATGACACGAATTTTAGTCCTACAATCCTCTAGTATGCTATGAAAAAGAGCTGACTCGGTGTTGAACAGATTTCCAACCGGCTTCCCCTGTCTGCAGGCTGACTGTAGCCCCGGGCAAGTTTCACTTATGCAATGGAGTTTAGTACATTCTTTTCAGGACAGTGTGCAGGCTCCTTGGCCAAGTCTGATCCCATGGAGGGGTGTCTGTCAGTAGATGTCCTCTTCCTTTTTCTCACCCTGGCATGCATCCCTCTACTGTGCCACTATCCTGCTCAAAAGAGAGATACCTGTACTATGTGCATTTTCTCCACAGGAGTGTATGTGTCTCTGAGAATAACAGCTCTGTGTACAGGGCTGGAGGTGGGTGGGCAGAAGGTTCGTTCAGAAGGGTTCAGAGCTAAACATGATAGCTTATATGCTTATGAACCCAGAACTTAGGAAGCCAAGGCAGAAGAATTACCATGAGTGTGAGGCTAGTTTCAAATGAAGAGAGAGAGAGAGAGAGAGAGAGAGAGAGAGAGAGAGAGATTAGAAATCCAACAAAGCAACAGAAGAAAAAGGTCTGAAATGAGAGCAACAACAAAGAAATTAATAAGGAGCAGACTGTGTTAGCACAGGTTTGCAAGATGGGCAGCCTGTCAGCATCTACTTCCTCTACTTCCTGGTCCTGTCTTTTCCCTGAAAATCAGATCTGATATGGACAGCACTGAGGCAGTGGAGAGATGGCAGTCAGTGTTGCTTTGCAGACCAGTCCAGCACTGCCAGAATCCAATCAAGAAAGCAGACTGAACAGTAAGGCTGCTGCTATGTCCAACTATCCTTCCCTGGACAGTAGCTCCAGCCAGGTGTCTGCGATTCTAATGATGAAAGTGGCAATAGCTAGCTCTTGTTGAATGCTTCTTTGTGTCAGCGGTCATAGCAACCACTTCACACAGGCTAATTAAGCTTCCGTAGGCTGCTTAAGTGCAGACTATTCTTTCCATCTGCCACTGAGGAACTGAGGCAAGACTTGTGGAGCAGCTGTGACCTCCTAACTAGAAAGTGCTAGAAAGCCAGGGTTTGAATGTGCCTCTGACTGCTCTCTAATCTTCCTTTATCTCATCTCACTTGCCCCCATCCAGTCAGCTGTGCTTTAGTTGCCTGGGGCTTCCTGTGGCCCTGGCCACTTCACCTGGCCAAGACGCCAGTTAGCTTATCTGTCATTTTATGCTACTGGGGAAAGGTTCAAGGAAACCTCAACCCCCCTACCACACACACCAGACACTCCTCATTCCCAGATAGGCAGGTGGATCTAGATCCAAGCATTTGCCATCTCCCACCAGAGATCTTCACAAAATTTCCCTGGAGACCACAGCACTTCTTGAGTCCTTGGCCCCTTTCTAGTAATAGTTTGTGTCTGAACAGTGCCCACCATCTTGAGAGCACTTCCCCACCCACCTGGTAGTACCGACAGAATAGGGGATCCACTGTGCTGAAACCCTAGCCCCATCACTTACTAGCTGTGCAATGTTGGTAAACTACTCTCTGGACTTCTCAACATCATGGTTTCCCTGTGTGTGAAGTGAGTGTAACAGCAGCACCTGCCTGTCAGCCTAGAAGGCTGAGCAAAGTAAAACGATGTTGTTGTTTTTTATTATTATTATTATTATTATTATTATTATTATTATTATTATTATTATCTCACTGAGCCTTTCCCCCAAATCCTGTGGGAATAAGTAGAGCAAGTCAGTTCTTGTCATCCTGGAAAATGAGTTTAAACCACATGACCTCTAGGCTCTCTTCCAGCTCTACCCAGCAAGATTCTGCCATGAATCAGTTATTTAAGGAAACATCTTTGCTCCTTCTGCTGTAGCTAACGCAAAAGACCCAGCCCTTCACACAGGGCCTTGTGTATAGTCGACAGTCCTGCCAGATCAATGTTAGCATATAACAATAGTCCCTGCCTCGGCCAGGCAGTGGGAAGAGCAAATGAGGAAACTTCTAAATAGCATTTAGCATAGTGCCTGGCATTGAGTGAGCTAATAAACCATAGTTATATTGTTACACATCTTATGATAGCACTCCCAAAACCCATCATTAAAAACT